ATTTGGAAGACTATAGAAGGCACCTAATGTTTGATTGTCTCCTTTTGGCCTGATTTTTAGCAGCAGTTATTGTATATGCACTGACTCATTTGGGATTAATGATTGATAATATTCTAATTTTATTATTTCTCTTTTATTTATTAGAAAGAGAGGCTTATCTATAATTTGTATTTCTTTGTATGGTTTATACATGACAGTCGTGATGGGTGCTTGCTTCTTCTTATCTACCAATTTTCAGAGCTATGAATCTCTTTTTCCGTAACTTTATAGAGGTGAAAAACTCATTTAAGTAAACATCATTGCATCCTGTGGATTTAAGTACATTTACTTGGTCGTGATCCTTTTCAGTTGTTGAAGTTCAGGTTGTCCCATGTTTGGCCACCGGGAGCTTTTTGAAGTTGGCTGAACTGTGTTTCTCCAAAACTCGTATGTTAAACTTCTAGCCCCCAAAGTGACTGTAACTGGGGTGACATTTTAAGGGGTAGTTAAGGTTAAATGAGCTTAGGAGGGTAGGGCCTTAATCCCATATGCTGTTGTCCTTCTGAGAAAAGGAAAGGGCACCAGGAGTGCAGGTGATGGAGACAGGGAAAAGTTGGCCATCTGCAAGCTGGTGCGAGACCAGCTCAGCTGCACCTTGATCTTGGGCTTTCAGTCTCCAGAACTGTGAGAAAATACATTTACTTTGTTTAAGCTGGTATTTTGTCATATTAGCCCTAGTAGAAATCATATAGCCCGTAAGTTCTTTTGATAGGACTCTCATAGTTATATGATAATTTCTTTGCTATCTGTTGGATAAGGCATTTTAGCATCTATCACCTTATATATTTCCTTTTTCAAATCTAGCGGCACTGGTGACTTCTTGAGAGAAATGGTATTTTAAAACCATAATCTGGGCACAAGGGATGGCCTTTTTGATTCGTTTCATTGTTTCTTGACCTTTTCAGGGAGTACTTTTTAGAGGTAACGTTCTTCATGACTTCACATTGGGAATTTCAGTTCCAATTCAAGATTGTGGAATTTAACCTAACCACTTCTATATCACATCTGTCTCTCCTTTCTCCCACATTAAAGTTTTTGACTCACAAGGATAGAATTAGAGACTAGAATTTGAATATTTCATACTTACTTACTTGTGTTTTCCATATTACACAATTTTAGAATAATAAGAAATACAGTCTTTAGTATCTTGTTTCCTTCTTATCCTTTCTCCAGGAGCATATATTATTTGTAACTGTCCTCAATATTTGCGATCATTGTCTTTCAAGTCCTTTCATTTAGAAAACTGTTTTCAATTACATTACCTTTGTATAATTAGCTCTTGTATTCCTTCTAGTCGAATCTTCAAGTAGTACCACTGAACTTTTGATTTGATTTTGTTTTGAAGCCTGTCTTTCTGTCATGTTTTCTTTGTTACTCCATTCCTTACTCTTTCTGTTTTGACTCCATGTCAGATTTGATCCCATTATTTTTTATTGTTTGTTTCAGCTGAAGTTATTTTTTTCCTGAATGTTTTGAATGAAACTGGCTTCAGAGTAGCTTTCCTAACTTTATGGAGCTAATTGTTCTGTTACTTTTGTGTAGCATTTAAAAATATAGCTGCTCGTTTTTTGACATTTCTTGGATTTATACCCTTTTGGTCTACACCTTCTCTTTCTACATGTGTGGGTTCCCTCTTATGTTGAAATTTCATTCCAGAATTTTCTGTCCTGTGCTGGGGTTCTGTTTGGGAAAAGAGCCCTGCTGGCTTGGATTTGGGGTTTATAGGGAGGGTTGCTCTTGTTCTACCTGGTTCTTTTCTGTTATGGCTCCATCCCACACAATGAATGACAGGACAGAGCTCTTCCAGCTCAGCTACTGGTCTGCAGTGCTGTCCTGTACATTGTTTGCTTCTTTGGGTTCTTCTGTTGCCTGGTGCTTTAGCCCTGTGTCCATTGCTTCCTTCTTGTCCTTGCTGCCCACACTGGACTCTGTGACGATCTCGTGGCTGTTGCTACTTTGTCTCATCCTATTTGCACTTTGAAGTTGGTAGAGCTATCATGCTATCTAGTTTTTTTGTTATGGTTGTTGATTTTGGATGTGTTTTCAAGCTCTGTCTGGTTTTGTCTAAGATTCGGAGATAGTGAAAATTCTACCGCCGCCATCTTTCCACAGTTCTTCCCGGTGTTCCCGTCTCAGCATTTGGAACAAATACTCAAGCAAACTAATGGGTATAAGAGTTTCTTATGCTGCTAACAGAAAGGAACACTTACTAAATAATACTGCTGCTTCTGGTGAGGAACCCAGAAAAGCACCCACAACTCTGGTCGAAGTCTTTAGTTAAGAGCTGACTTATTTTTAGTTTTGTTTTGTGTTTAGTATTTCCTGCAGAGTTTGGTTTTACTATTCAGAAACATGACAGCTGCTCTGGAGCCTGAGTACTCTTGCTGTTTCATAGCATTCTGGGATTATTCCATGCTCTTTGCAGCCAGGCTTTGAAATCTGTTAAGAATTTCTCTTGTTGTTGTGTAGTATATGTTTGGGCTGGGTCCACCTTTGCTTTCTTGTGGTGCCTGTTTTATTTACAGTGGAAGAACCATAGTCTGGACTTTTTATCAACAAGCATCTTCTTATGCTCTTTGTACATATACTATGAACAACATGTAAGATGTGGGCCTTTCCCTGAGGATTTCATTTAATTCATTTTATCTGTCTCTTGGACTGATCCAGGAAGAAAGGGAGTGCTTTTTATTTTTTGTCAACTGTTTTCCTCCTCCACTGGAACTCCAGTTCTAAGTTATTTAATCTTATAGAGGATACTGATCAAAATATTGTGCCAACTAGAAAACGTTTGTCTTTTATCTCTACAGTATTAGAGCTCTGATTCAGGTTGAATTTAGTCCTATGCTGTCATTACAAACTTCTAAGATTCTAAATGAAATTCTGAATTAATCAGTGTAGACCCTCATCGACTTGACGGATGTATTTTTACTGAGTGGTCTAAATTGCTATACCTGCCTACCCAAAGTTGCTGAGTGTTTTTCCCCCTACATTATATTTAGCATAGCAGTAGAGGAAATTTGTAGCATTTTTCTAAATGTATGTTCTACCTTTCAAAAATAGAAGGGGAAATTGTCAACTGTATAACTTTATATTTTAGCCTATTTAATTTTGAATAAATCTTCTTGAGTAGTTCCTAACCTAAAATTTGTTCTCTTGCAACTTTGCAGAGAGATATCTTATTTCAAAACAGGAATTAGAAATGTCTAGTTATGTCTCTACACAAACTTTATAGATTTAAGACTTTTCTCAGTAAAATAATGGCAAATAACATATCTTGGGAATTTGCATCTTTCTAAACTAAAGGCCTATCATATTTGTGACACTGGTCAGTATTTATCCTGTTTATACCTACATTTGCTCAAGTATGAAATATGGCAGGAATGGTACATTTATTATAAGGTTGCTGTAAAGATTAAAAGAGATAATACATTTTTGAATATTTGATACACTATGTAACAGCTCAGGCAATTAGAATATAATAACAACAGTTCCCACACTTGGAGCTTAACAATATTGGTAATTAATTGATAATCACATAAAAAATTGCGGACATGGTAAGTGCAGTGGAGGGATGTGTGGATCTCCAAGAGTATGTTGTAGGGGCTTGAGCTGTTCGGGGGAAGGTTGTGGGAAGTTTCCCTTGAGAGGAATGAGGACAGATCTAAAGAAAAGTGGATGAGAAGGAACTCAGTGAAGGTGTGTGTTTGCTGTAGGTGCGGGTGAGCACGTCTAGGAAACGAATGTTCCAGAAAGGGGCAGCACAGGGAGAATGGTTAGAAGGAGCTGGTGAATATGAGGGCCTGAAATGAGGCCAGAGTGTGCAGGCAAGAGGACAATGGTCAGTGTTACTAGCGATTGGGTTGGAGAGGGAGGAGGGAAGGAATGGGGCAGAGCCGGGGAACATTTGTATTCCATGCGTAGGAATGTGATCTGGCGGGGTCTCATGAAGTAGTGTTAGATATTGGAATTCCCAAGATATACTCTCTGTGATCTTTTGTCATTACTGCTATTTTAAAATTCCTTTATAGTCGTTTCTACATTAAACAGGTTCATATACTTCAATATTTATTTGTTGCTTCTTTTCCCCAAACTCTTATTATTATGCTTCTCTAAACGCCAATTCCCCAATCCTTTCGTTTAGGAATAAAGCCAAGATGATAGCTTTGCTTTCTTTCAATCAATTTTCCTATTTGAAGTAGAATTTTCTTTTGTATAATGTTAGGTAAGATAAATGCAAAACAATTGCCAACATGTCACCTACTGTGACACTTACAATTATATTATGCTGCTTAGCCTTTGTAAAATGCTCACATGCTCTCTTTTGTTGTCTAATTTAAACAAACGAAAGCCAAAATTATTAGAAATGCTGGTGTCTTGTGTTGACAGGTGGCTCAGAGTGATTTCAGATATTTTCATCTTCTCCAGAGCCAGCTTTTGGAAATGTTAAGGCCTGAGGCACTCTGTGATCAAGTAGGAGGAGTGAGAAAGGTGGATGTTATGTGTTTGTATTTGTGTGTGTGTGTGCACCATGTGCATATTTTATGGATGTTGATAAAAATTAGCTAATGTAGCAGCTGTAAAGTTCCACATGCACCAAAGGCCATAACTTTCCTTCATATTCTAAAAGAAAGGAGTAACTGTATTAGACCGTGTAAACAAACTTGTCAGGAGCATTACAGATCTGGGCAGCTTTGCATAGCCTTGGCACTCACACCGTGCTGCTCCAGTAGGGATTTCCGTTTGGCATCAAATACTGGAACAAAGAGTAGTTTACAATATTTTGTTCATGGTGGTATTAATGGATGATTGGGGCATTTTCTTACGGCAAGTGCTCTGGTAAACCAATTTCTCGCATAGAACACAAACCCTCTTGTCTGCAGGGCTGATAATGCCTAGCATGTAGCATGTAATGTCTGTTAAGTGGATAGATAACCATGCTAAAAATATTTTACGTGTTCCAGGACCTGATCTTCAGGTTTGCATATCCAAAAAACCAACATGCTGCACCAGGAAGATGGAGGAGAGATATCAAGTTGCAGCTCGCCAAGATCTGCAGCAGGTGCTTCAGACATCCAGCTCGCCACTAAAGCTGCTCATATCTCGAAATGCAGCCACTTTTCAAGGTAAGTGTACCTGGAGTTCTGAAGCGAACAACCAGCTTTGTGTTAGTGATTGTCTAGGATACCAGTACTGGTGAACTTGGCTAGGCTTATTTCCTTATATTTGCATAACGTTCTAGTATAACATGAAGTTTTATCTTTTTAAAACGTTGTAACTTGTTTCTGAGGTCATCCTGGGAATATAGTTGAGTTGGACTAATGAATCTTAAACTGTTGAAAGGGGTCTTAATCCTGATAGGGTTCTTTCAGGTTCCTCACTGTGACCCACAGTTTTACTTTAGTGAGAACAGTCAGAATTATTAGATTTTACGAAAAGAATTCTGTAGCATAAAATCATGTTGCCTTAAACTAAATAGTTATAGATTTATTTTTCATAATATGATTTGAATAAATATTTGTCTGAGTTTTCCCTCTGTGGTCAGCTGTGGTTTTTGTGAGAAAACCAGTTCAGTGTATCAGAGTGCAGGCAGATTGATAAATAGTACACTGGAAAATTTAATTGTATCTTTAAGGGTCAGCTAAGACCGGAACTGAACCATAACTGAAACAGTGTGTTCAGAAATAAAATGAAGGGCCGGGGATAGTTCAGTGGCACAAGCACCTGCCTCCAAGTGCAAGGTCCCGAGTTGGATTCCTGGTACCAAAAAAAAAAAACCAACCCAGAAATAAAATGAATAAGTTATAAAATTATAAGGCACCGTGAAAAATACATGATCTTTTTCTTATGTTAGTCATCTTCTATAAAATTCCTTATTGCTATAATAAAATATCTTAATTTATTTCCCCTTTATGAAGCATTAGCTCTTCTGCATATGACTAGAATGAAAACATCTGCTTTTCAAACAAATATAATGCTTTTGTTTAACACAGAATATAACTTCTGTTAGTGTTCCTTTTTAATAAACATATTAATGTCAGTCTAAATAATTTGCTTTATGCACATAAGACAAAGCTGATTAATTTTTAAAACTATACTTATTAAATGAAATAAATATGATAAATCAGAATAAAATTTAAATTGAGTTTAAAATATAGATCATGATGAATTGATTTTTATGTAGAAACTGTAATGATAGATTATGTTATTAATTTATTTTTTAGGTGCTTTACAGCACAGCTTTATTTTTGTCATGGGATTTGCTCATGTGAAATGGTTGGAGAAAAATTTATTGATGTGGATTTTAAACATTTGTGACTTGAACTGGCCAGGTGGAAAGGAGTTAGCCACCAAGTGAAGTTTGTGATGATTATTTCTCATGATGCCGATTGTATGTGCAATGTACAAAATACTTTCAGAAGTAACTGGCAGTTAATAGAAAAGTTTGAGTCAAACAGGGAGTCTGTGGTTGTTGGCTATGTACTTAAAATGGTAAAGTAGACTCAAGATTGTTTCAAACTGAAGAAAACATGTTTTCTTCACTTCAGTCTAGTTTACCATTTTAAGTACATAGCCAACAACCACAGACTCCCTATTCGTACGGTCAGCTTCATGAGAAATAATCATCACAGACTTCAGTTGGTGGTTGACTTCTTTCCATCTGGCCAGTTCAGATCACAAATGTGTGCACAGGAGAGTTTCCTAATAATTTCTTACCTTTATTATCAAAACGGAATCTCTCCAAGCAAGAGTACATGCTGAAGGTCATGACAATTCTAACCTACTCTTTTAGATAGCAGTATCTAAATACATGGGTGAGAGGAAGTGTCAGCAGTCACAGTGACTATCTCATAAGCTCCAATATTTTCTGCTATCTTCAAAGCTACTGTATGAGACTGTTCACATATTCTTGGATAAGTCAGTGAAGATAAAGAACATGAAATTCAAAAGACTGGGAGACCTGGAATATTTAGACTCTTAAAATGGACTGATGCCGGGTGTGGTGGTGCCCGCCTGTAATCCCAGCACTTGGGAGGCTGAGGCAGGAGGATCGTTGTGAGTTCAAGACCAGTCTGGGCTAAAAGTGAGCTCAAGGCCAGCCTAAACTGCATAGGGAGACCTTGTCTCAAAAAAAAAAAAAAAAAAAAAAAAAAAAGAAAATGGACTGAGGCTACTTAAGCTTTGGTGATATTGGTGAATGTTGGTTGATAAGTATTTTATTAGCAGGAATTCATATTAAGATCTGGAATTGTCTCTGTTTGCCTGAGGGTCAGGTAATTTCATATAGTTATTTTCTGTTTAGTAAATTGTACCTCCTGTTTCTGAGTTTTGCTGTTTATTTAAAAATTAATTATGAAAATTAAAAAGAAATATTCTCAAATGTGAATTGTCATAGTTACCATTTTCTTGCCTTGAGGAATGTAAAGTTTTATTTAAGAATTATGAACAGGAAGACATTTAGACGAAATTTGCTGAAAGGCAAATTACTGAAATAAATTCTCTTCCAAGAAAACCAGCTTTTAATTTAATGAAAAAAACAAGTAGCTTCCACTTATTTTAGTAAACAAGAAGTCTAAATATATGTTAAATATATATATTGTATATATATGCTAAAAGCCATACTGAGAGATCACATTTGCAGTGTCATAACTGAGCAGTACAGATTCCTTTATTAATAAGTGCTGTCTATATAGTTCCTATGTATTCAGATTATCTGAAAAAATTCACTATTTTTATAAGATGAAAAGAGGCTACACATTTTATTGGGAAATTTAATTTGCTGGAGATACACATAATAGACGTATCAATTCACTTCTTTGGTGATGTAAATACATTTGCTACATTTTTATGTTTAGATTTTCAGATATTTTATTTCTATTTCTTACTTCAACACTGGTACTCTTTTCTACAGCGGTGTGCCAGGTTATGAACAGTGTTGGACTGGAAAATAGCCCGGCCTTTTCTGTCACGGATCTTGGGGACCCCATGGATGTTTTTGGAGCATTCCTTGAATAGGGTCAATGGGAATGGTCACTGGATCTGTGGATTTTGTAGACTGCACAGCACTGCTACGCAGAGGCTAGAAGTTTGGTAACACACGGGGGATAGAGGAAGTCATGCTGGCACCTGGTGCCGCAAGATATATTAGGTCATCAGAGTACAATTCACATTCAGCTCTGGATTCTGCCACCTGGCTGCATATTGGTTAGGCTGGGGTCAGCTTGTGGGACAAACGTACATTTTTTTATTTTCTTAAAGGAATTTACCAAAGCTTGTTTCAGTGAGATGTCCTTAAAAACAAATAGCTAAACAGAAAAATCTGTTGTTTCTGACCCTTAATTAGGACTGGAATTGTTATTTTTTAAGGCACTCAGTCGCGCAGTGTTTTATCATGCAGTCCCTGAAAGGAACAGGCTGCTATCCTTGTGTCGGTTCATAAATAAGTAGTGCAGTTTTCAGAGAGGAGCGCTGGCCTTGTCACAGCACAGACAATAACTGTTCTTCTTTTGCAAGGCTTAATAATGCTCATGAATAAAGCGGAAGGAAGAGGCAGAGATAATGCAAGAGTCTGTTTCCCTTTGGTTGTTTTACTGTGAATACGAGATTGTATTCCTTGAAAATAATTTAGAAATTTTTAGAATAAATATTTCACTTATTTATAAAGTATGATGTGACTCAGAGAAATAGGGGAGATTGAAAGAATATTTCATCTGTAAAAATTCACCTCATCTAGTTTTCAAATTTGTCACTTTTTAAATCTCAAGACAATAGTGTTTGGGTTTTTTAAGCTTTTATTTTTATAAAAAAATTCATTTTAATGTAATACAAGTAGATATTAAAAAAATATAAAAAACACTTCCATAAAAATAAAATTTTACTACAGAATAAGAGAATAACAATGGTTAGTATACTTTTTTAATAACAGAAAACAATACAGGAATGTTAGCTTCTCTCAAAAATAAAAATAAGGAATACTTTAAAGGTATTACTGAAAGCTTGTGTTTTGTTTCAACATTTGGGAGACAGGTTAAGAAGTTAAGTCATTCCTAACAGATATATCTTTTCCTACATATCTTACCTTTGAATATGCTCACTTAGTTCTAAGATATATGATAGCTACTTAGTAATTATTCTGGAAAACTCTCAGTTTCTTATATGGATTTAAAAATATATATTATTGCAAAATCTGAGAGCTAATGATATTTAGAATAAGAATGATTTCACATTTCTGTTTATGTTTCATTCTCTTGGCTAATAAGATTTTTTTTCTAGATTATGAGTACCTGAAATGTTAAAACAGGCTTGTACTCTTAGGTTAAAATATTAAAATAACAAATTTAATAAAGATATATTCCTATATTTGGTGAAATAAAGATATGATCAAAATTAATATCTGATTTTAAAAAGCAGGTGAAATGAGATGAAAATATGAATATAATATGTGGATTTTTCTTCTTTGTGGTAAAGGATACTAGCTACTATAAAGTGTGAAGTTATAACACAGCTACTGTAAAACTAATATTCATATACACGTGCAAATATGTATATTTTAAATAACACAAGGGTATAGTTAATATTTGACAGAGTAAATAGACTTATAGACATGCTATAGTACTGACCATAGAATACATCAATCTTGCGTGTCTATATTTGTTCTCCTGAGTAACCATTTTGAAGATGCCAATATGTAATACAACAACCACTGTCAATTTCCTGTCACCTTGTCTGTAATTCAGTATCGCTTATATTGTTCTTGTGCTATTTTGTAAATGGTTGTCTGTTGATATGTTTTTGTTCTTTTATTTTTAAAATAAAAAAAAGAATACATTAACCTTATTTTGTTTGCTTCAGCTATGGTTTACAAATATGGATAATATTAAAATTATTCCTTGAAGAGGTAGTATGTGAAAAAAATAATAGAACAGTGCTATTTCTAACACTAAAAAATTACTTGATCAAAAACTCAAGAGATCAGGTAGCCTTAGGTGGGCTGTGCTAGGGAGGTTTGTTTCTGTCTCTGACACTTACGGGAGATACTCAGCAAATGCAATTAAGTAAACTTCCTGAATAAATGAAAGAATGAATGATAATTAGCAAGAAGATGGTTTCCAGATAACATAAGATT